TGGTTTTGGAGATATGACCTTGTTTTTCAGGTCATGTCATGACCCAAATGATCAATTCCCAACTTCTTGCGTTGGCTATGGGCCTTGTGAGCTTTTGACACCTTTATTTCGGCCTTTTTTTGCCAGTCTTACCTCCACCTATCATGGAACATGTTGTTCGACGATGTACAGATGTCAAGGTCAGGGTCAAGTTCAACCTAGGTCATCTAGAATAGTTGCGTTTTAGGCAAGCTTAATTTACTTTTCGTGAAATTTTTTGACTGAATTTTTGGTAAAAGCTTCTCAGATCATGATTTCATGTAATATTGATATGGACACATAAACAATCGGTGCACACATCAGTATACACACAGACACACACAGACATACAAATACATATCATTGACCTTGACCTAACTTGACCTGAAATGACCTCAGCAGCAAAAACCTGGTCGGGTAGTGTGACAAAGTGGTTCTAGCTGGCTTGGCACCAGAAAACGGCATTGTCATCGGTATATGATAAGCAGCGCACTTGATATCCAACGGTGACCCAAAACAGCAACATTTTTTAGTTTGACATGGCCTCGAAGGTCAATGACTGACCTCAGAAGGTAAAACTGGGTATCATTGGATTTGTCTCTCCCAAAGAATCTTTTTGGTCTTTACCGCGAAGCTCTATCTTCAACAGGAACGAAATAGCGCGGGGGGTGGCAATCACCCCCCCCCCCCCATGTGCGTTCTAGGATGAGAAAATTGCATGTGCGGGCGAGGGTTAAGATCTCGGAAATTTACCAGCTGATTTTCAAAATTCAAACGGTGTTCGATAGCCCCACCAGGGAACTACCTTGTGACCCAAATCTCGGTCCAACCGATGACGTCACAGGTCAAAGGCCGCATTTTCACCGTTTACACCGTATACATACAGGCCTTGCAAGAAATGTGTTGTGAAATCGAGTAAATTGGTATGTTATTGAAAATCATCGATGGCGAATTGTTCGTCGAACTCATATTTTGCTATCTAGGGTCACTGATACCAGGTCAGGTCACTGAGGGTCACAGTATGAAAGTGTCGTGTGATGCATGTTTTATGGTCCAAATTACATGACAAATGCGATTATGTGGGTCAGGCAGCCTTTTAGGCCAGTTTAGGTTATGTTCTGGTGAAGGTCAGGTCAAGTTCAGGTCAAATTTGGTCAAATTTCAAAGCTGATAATTCTGCGTAAAATGGGTATCGATTCGATGCAGCTCGTCACGGGGAGTCTAATGGTGGTCTTAATTTTGCGCTACATGGTCTAGAATTGCTATAAATTGAGTTTGAAAATTTGACGTTATCATTTTTAACAGTATTTTCGCTATAACTTGGCCAAAAAAAGAGAGGTATAGATCTGAAATTCGGTATGTGGATAGAAGTCGGTAGGTAAGTGGTAACATCACATGTGGTCCTTTTTTAACACGCGCAGTGGAAGGGTTGCGAGTACTACGCCCAGTGGAAGGGGAGGGGGGGCGGATGTCGCCCCCCCCCCCCCAAGATCTCAGCTCCCACTGGAGCTAGAAAGACGAAATTTGGAGGGTAGGTGAAAGCCCCGGGCATCTCTGTTGTTTGTGAATTTCATGACCCTAGGTCAATATCTCCAAGGTCAAATAAGGTCAAATGTGGTCAAATCTGCCATATGAGCGACTTTTTTGCGTTTACACGCCGATAACTCAAAAAGTTGCTGGCCGATTTTCTTTTTTCTTTCACTATACGAAAGAATATCTATTTGTGAGCATGTATGGTGAATTTCTAGTTAATGCAACAATAAACATGGTAGCTAGAAGCACTGGCGGATCCAGGGGGGCCACGGGGGCCATGCCCCCCCCCCCCCCCAGGCCTAAAGTGGCCTGTTTGGCCCCCCCCAAAACGCCAGAAAAATTGCTAAGAAAATATACCTTGATGGAGGTTTTTAGCCACTTGGTGAAGTAAAGCTTTCCACAGCATAATATGGAAGCAATATAGTAGCAGTGAGGGTCAGTCAAAAGTTGCGCGAGCGGACACCCTGACAGGCCCATGGTGCCCCTGCTAGACCGGTGGTGCCCCTGGCAGGCCTGTGGTGCCCCTACTAGGCCGCTGGTGCCCCTGGGCCCTGACAGGACTGTGGTGCCCCTGACAGGCCCAAGGTGCCCCTGCAAGGCCGGTGGTGCCCCTGTAAGGCCTGTGGTACCCCTGCTAGGCCTCTGGTGTCCCTGACAGGCCCATGGTGCCCCTGCGAGGCCGGCGGCGCCCCTGGCAGGTCTCTGGTGTCCCTGACAGACCTGGGGTGCCCCTGACAAGCCAGTGGGGCCCCTCACAGGTCCGTGGTGCCCTTGCTTGGCCTGTGGTGCCCCTGGCGGGCTGGTGGTGCCCCTACTAGGCCGGTGGTGCCCCTGACAGGCCTGTGGTGCCCCCGGGCACCAAGGGGGTCATGACCCATGTGGCCCCCCTTGGATCTGCCACTGATGCATAATATATTGATTTGTAAAGGCGTTATGGCTTATGCAATATGCAATTGCAGGCACTTGGTATCCCTCACTTATCCCTCATTGGGGCTCTGGCGGGCTCCTGAGGGCCCACGTCTATCTCCGGGAGCCCATATAGACAGGCTCCTTTGGGTCCTTTCAGTACACTATAGCATAAGAGGTCTCCATGCGAGTCCTATACATACATCTGAGGGCGTACCCTGATGTCTGAGGTACCCAACTGCAGCTCCAATGGTCTCTTCTTACACTGGCGGATCCAGGGAGGGGGCATTTAGGGCCATGCCCCCTTCCCAGAGGCCTAAAGTGGCCCGTTTTCCCCCTCCCCCAAACGATAATGAAACATAGTTCAATCAGGGCGTGGCCCAGGAGCCGAGTTAGACAGGGCTGTTTTACCACCTCCCGGCCCGCAAAGGGACCCAAGCACTGACTCGAAGCGGGTTAAAGAGACCCTCCCACCTTCAAAAAAGTTGATGAATTGGCATGAAAGTGATGTCGCTAGGTTCAGAAAGGGCGAAAACGAATATCTACCAAATTTTATCGAAAAATATTCACCGGTTTTCAAGAGATTAGACTTTTATTTTTGTTTACTTTTTGGGATATCCGCTGCTGTTCCTAGCGACTTTATTTGAAAGTGCGGCATTTGTTGCGCGCAAAGCAGCCTATACCACCGCATGCTACCAAACGTTTTAGTAAAATATTAAAAAATCATTAGATCTCCGCTGACGTCACACATTCAGAGGGGTATCCAAAAGCATTAGCCCCTCTGAATCAAAATGCTGCAATTTTGAAATTCAATATTTCCGATTTAAGGCATTTCTCGATGTTGTGAGTGCGTGCCGAAACCGGTAATTGTGAGCCAGGGACCCCATTTTGGCTATCTCAGCTCAAATATAATGTTAAGGTGGGAGGGTCCCTTTAACTGGTCGATAAAAACAATGGTAAGTGTTTACAAAGTAATATAAAGGAATGGGTCGGTTGGGCTACCATTTATATATTTTTCTTTTTAGTTAAAAAAAATTCATAGTGTCAGGGCTGTGACGAAAAATAAGTGGCCTAAATCCGATGAGAAAACAGGATTTGGGGGTACCCTAGGTTTGGCTCCTGCATGAGTTGCCCCCCCCCCCCAAAAAAACGCAAGCCTGGATCCGCCAGTGGCTAGAAGCCTGCTAAGGGTAAGATGTCGCCGGCTGAAGCGGGATCGGCCGCCGCGGGAAACGCGGCAATCACAATTTTGTGTTTACACACTCATAACTCAAGTTGTTACCGGCCGAGTTTCAAAATTCTTTGACCATGAGATTTTCTGTACATTTCTTAGTCTTCTCACACAATTTGACGTGAATCGAATATAATCAGCGGTAAGGAGCGCGATGTAAAGACGGAACCGTCCCGCCCCGGCACAGTCTACAATTCAGGCAGCGCGTAACGGCTAGCGCCGCCCGCCGCGCCGCCGCGCCGCCACGGCGGCAGGATGTTTGACTTTACACCGCTATTACAAGAAAAGTTGTGACCCGATTTTCTTATTTCTTGCACGAGAAGATCTGCAGTTCAATTCTGGACAGGTAGCCAGAATTTCACATTAATATCGTGTTTGCGGCGCGAGTTATTGGCGAAAAACAGGAGGGGTGAGCGGAATCCGCCCCCGTCCACTGCGCGTGTTAAATAAAAAAAAAAATACATTTGGGATTTGTTTTCTATGATATCCCAAAAATTACTTTTTTGATTTTGAAGGGTTGAAATCCAAAGCTTTCAAAAATCCGAGATAGCAGTTTTATAGCTCTGTCAAATCTGCAGTTTAATGTAATTAACATTTTTCTGTGTCTTCAAAGCTGTAGGCCTGACAGCTCTTCCTGCGATTTTTTTTTGTCGAAAATGGCAGAGTATGAGGTCACTCCCAGTAGCGGCGAAACACCTTCATTTAAGGAGGGGGGGGGGGGGGCACTGCCGACTTTTGGGCCTTTTATTTCCATGCAACGCCCATAGGGCTAATGTTAAAATACCAAAAGCAAAGGGGGCACGGTGCCCCTGTACCCTTCCCGTTCCGCCGCCTATGGTCACTCTGACGTTATTTGTTGCCAACCTATCATAGCCTCTGGAAATATGTTTGGCCACAAAGTGTAAAATTGATGTTCGGAGGGGTCCGAAAAGTTTGGTGGTGATATCTGCAGCAGCTTAGGAGATATGTACGAAAAAGGACAGGGGGGCCGTTTCTCCCCCCCCCCCCCCCCCCGCCACGGGGCGCAGGTTATTGCTACCTATGGTATAGTTGAGTAGCAACAGACAAATATATATATATATATATATATATATATATATATATATATATATATATATATATATATATATATATATATATATATATATATATATATATATATATATATATATATATATATATATTGAGACGGGTTACACAGCACATTCGGGTGGACGCGCTTCGTCTAAATGACTTTATCGACACCCTCTTTTATTCATTTACTATTTAGATCATTTATGTAGACGAAACGCGTCCAACCGAATGTGCTGTGTAGTGTGTAGCCCGTCTCAATATATACTATGGTATAGTGTATGACACCCTTCTGTGTAAGGCTGTGCAAGATTATGCCAGCCGCTGAAATAGCAAACTGCATAGGAGTTGCTTGCGAAGCATAATGCCTTTCGATGCATTGCCATTCTTGCATCATAAGCACATTTGGATTTTGGACGCAATAGGTAGCTCAGAACTCTGATTGCCATTGCGTTCAAGTTTATTTTTAAGGCAGGCACGCAAAGAAATGCAAACACAAACGATCTTACATACATCCGAATAAGAGATAAGTAGAAACCCGACAAGGAATCAACACAAGCAGTTTAACATTTCGACAAACGTTCGTTAGGTGATTTTTCAGTCCCCGTGTTTTCCTCGTGGCTTATCCGCAGTAAGAGCATCCTCCGTAGCCGCCTCCTTGTCCAAACTGTCCGCCAATACCAAAGCCGAGACGTCCGAAGTTGCCGAGACCTTGGAATCCGCTGTTGAAGGAGCCGAGGCCTCTGAACCCATTGTTGAAGCCGCTGAAGCCTCCGAAGTTGTTGAAACCACCTGCGCCGAAGGCTCCGAAGTTGCCTCCGATGCCGCGTCCGTATGGGGAGTAGTAGTTGTTGCTGTGGTAGGGAGAAAAGCTGGCAGCAGCGACAGCCACCAGGGCGAGGAGGATGACCAGCTGAAACAAGATGCATATCATCAGACCCACCAGCGCACAAAATGTTCCATTGCCTTACTTTCTACTAAAATCACGCCATTTCACACTGATTTAGCTGACATTTAGGCTCATCTAGTTCTGAAACCGCGACAACATAGCGTACCTATATCATCATGCTAACTAGTTTTTCATGGCTGAGGTTTTCCGGTTTTATCTAACAACAGGACGTTGAGGAGTTTCGAAAATAAGCTTGCATAATATTTTATGTCACAGTTGAGTAAAGATAAGAGGAACAGATATCTCAAAGCTAGTCAGGGACAGAGCTATAGAGTTAGAAAGATAATTCAAGGCTAAAATGACCTGGAAATAAGATGTTCGAGCATATCAAATTGATATAAGTTACTTGGCGCAGTCGAGGTCCCCAGTGATACGTTCCCTTGGCTTGGCTTTCCGTGCCTCTTGTTCTCCGGGCTTACCTTCATGTCGAGTTTGGGAAGTGTGCTGGAACTGTGTGATCGGCCGACAGGGATTGCGGAGTGACTGCTGAGGACAGCACGGGCCCTTTATACCCCAACTAAGCTCGCCATCCGGTGGCACCGGCGACACTAACGGTGGATTGCAGGCGGAAAGTTGTCAACTTCTCTCCGCAGTGACCAGATAAAATTGATGACGAACCCGTTTCGGCTCAGCTGCACCGCGCCCACGTGGCATCATGGCGTTGTCGATCGTGTCGTTTATTTGCACATGCTGAACAAATCGTAATGGACGGTATCATTTACACTTCGTCAAGGTATTCCTGGCGTATAACACCTAACGTCATCATCATCATCATCGTCATCATCATCATCATCATCATCATCATCATCATCATCATCATCATCATCATCATCATCATCATCATCATCATCATCATCATCATCATCATCATCATCATCATCATCATCATCATCATCATCATCATCATCATCATCATCATCATCATCATCATCATCACCATCACCACTAGCTAGCTATACCATCTAATGTTGATCCGTTTCTAGCGTAAGTGATGGTGAATAATTTGCTTTTATCAACGTATGCAAAGCTGTTTTTTCTACATATGTATATCGAATTGCTGAATATTTTTTCTACATATGTAGACGAATTACTGTACGAGTATATCCATCTTTCTTTGCTTTGTAGTTGGTGCTCACTTCAAGATTGTTTATTTTCATCAGCAGAGTGATAGAAATACTCCATGACCTCAGTTTCCTGCGTCTGATAGTGTTGGCACTCACTGGTGACTGGGTAAGAAGGACGTGCACGACCAGATTGCTGACTTCTTATCATGTTTTCATGTCCAATGCCTAGTTCTGGGTTAAATGTGGAGCTCATGCTTTAGTGTAATTCGAGGCATGCTTTGTTAAATCGAAGCATTTATAAAAATTGGGGTGGATGCGGTTCAGTTTCAATGTGGACCCCACTATTACCTACTGGGAGTTCCTAAATGAACAATCGAATTTAAAAACTGCATGTGTATTTCAAGTAAGAAAGGAAGAAAACAAGGCAAATCAATGCCTATAATGCGCAATTAAAATTGTCAGTGCCACTTTGTGCGGTAGCGCCTGCTCCGTACTGACTGCTCACTTACGGCTTCAGAGGACGAATTACAGATGACCCTTTTTCGTCCCAGTCACAGCGGCCCGGCAGGTCTCGTACCGCACTAGGCGCACTGCGGACGTCACGGCCCTCTTGAACTCTTATAAGGTCCTGAGGAATGCTTTGAAATTTGAAACTTTTGTGTTCGAGAAAAATAATCTCGTTTACGCGTGGATCCAGTGGAAAGTTCACCTTGTCATTGAGCGAAATGTGATGAAGAAAATCATGCTCGTATATTAGTGTGCTCGAAGCTTCTCAAGAACCAGCTGATGTGCAACAACCGTGCCTGTTTGGCGACATACAACTTACCCTTCGCCAGCTGGGATCACAAGCTACCTTAGCTGATGCAGCAGTTTTATCAGCAATGCCCCCATCTTTATCGAAGCCCACTGGGCACTATAAAAAAATTAGCCTTCTCCCAGGTGCAGGCGAGCTGAGTATGGTTCTCAAGTTCGGTGAGCTGAAGAACTTGAGTGATGAACGGCGGTTCTTCTGCCAGGAGTTTTTTTACCGAACACTCGAAATGTTCCCGGACCGAAGGCATTCCAGCACATTGTCAAACGCTGCGGGACCGAAGGCAAAGAGCACCCCTTGTTCCTAAAGGGCACAAGATCAACACCTGATGGACACGTGGACAGAGTATAAAGTTCTCTGAAGATCGTCTTTTTATTACATGACGTGTAACTGTTAAATGGCCACTGTAGAGTGGAAAGTTGCTAAATACATGAATGAATGAATAAATCGTCCAGGCTCCCACGTCCGTGGCGCTGCAGAGCAGCTGGGGGTGTTGCTTGGAAAAGTTTCAAAGATTCTTCGAAAGAAGCTAAAATGGGGATCGTACCGTGCCCACTCTACCACAGCGCTCAGAGTCAGAGCGCCGCTCTCCCCAAGCAACATGGAAGCCAGAGAGACCGCATGTTCGTTTTGGATAAAACATGAAGAAGACGGATTTGACAGAGATATTTGGACATATGAAAGGCGGTTTTCTCTGTATCAAGATCTAACCAAGAAGAGCCAAGAAGAACACAGTGCACTGGGCACCAGCAAATCCACACCCAGTCATTCCGTGCAAGAATTAAGCGTGATGGCGTGGGTGGGCAGGATCGACGGGAGGTGCCTGCATATTCGCTGGTTTGAGGGGTCAATTAACGGAGCGACGGAGCGACGTATCTAGACATGCTGGAGACGCTCATGTGTCCCGCCGTCCAGGCCGTAGCTACCCAAAGTGAGTACTAGTTGGAGCAGAACGGTGCGCCTTCTCACATAACGTCAGAAGTGATGTATTTTTAACGGCAAAGTTTGGTGATCGGCTGATCTCCCGCAAGGCTCAACATCAATGGCCATTGGCCATCGTACAGTTCCGTATAAGCGTGCCTCGATTTCAGCTTCTGGCCCCAAGCTCAAGAGGTAGTAGTTCATCGTAGCCTCAGAACTCGACTCAGTTGAAGGACGACGTGGAAGACTTCGCTCGCAACATCAGCGAGGATCAGCTGCGGCGGATGGCACGCCACACTCGGCTCCGAGCCGAGCTGTGCTGCGCGGAACAGGGTGGACACTTTGACCATTTGCTCTGAACATAAAATGAGCGTGATAGTGTTAGGGCCAAGTAAAGCTGCATATACCACGACACGGTGTATTGTGCTTCCAGCGACCGAAGACCAAGCACGGACACGGCGACCCGCCGACCGACCCAGTCCGGTCACGGTCGCGCCCTTATATAACCACGGCACAGAGCGCATGCGCGGCGACCGCGCGGCGGTCACGCGGCTCGCCGGCCGGACGGCCGGGCCGCCGACCCATCCTGTTCCACGGCCCCACACGGCCGGTGCGCGGTCACAATATCCCAACACTCCTCCCCCCATAAAAGAAACGTTTCCACTTGGTCAAGTAACAAAGAAACGCGACACACTACGCGACCGGAACGCGACCGGAAATACAAACTGATTCAGACACTGGTGATGCACATCGAGAGCATCCGAGGCCTAGGATTGAAAACGATCTGGGGGGAGCGACACTCTGCCAGACCTGGTCACATACGCGCCCCGCACAGATGTACCCCCATTCCCCACCTGATCTCGGGCCCGCCGGCAGAGGTAGTACAACGCCAGTGGATCCGGTCCAGTCTCCTCGGACCCCGTCTGCTTCCTGGGACGCGTTTCTGTGGCTGTGTCCGATGCGTCTTCCCTCCGGGTGCTTCCAGACGTTTCCTGTTTGTGGGACTCCCGTTCCACAGCTGGCTTTAGCTGGTTGAAGTGCAGAGCCTTTTCCTTGCCCTTGTCGTCACGGACGAGGTACGTTACTCCTCTCTCTCCTCCGAGGCGGCCGATGATGGTGCCCGGGCCTTTGTAGTACAGTCCCAGCTTCGGCTTCCCGCCGACCGAGACCCTATTATCCCGAATCCATACCCGGTCACCAGCCTCGAACCCTTTTCCGCTCGCGCGCTGGTTGAATCGGGTCGCAGCCTCCGTAGCACTGGCCCGGGTTTTCCTGATAGTCGTCTGATAAGCCTCTGAAATGGCCTTTAGACGGTCTTCAAGGTAGCACCGGATATTTACCGCCCGATCCGGAGAGTTGATGACCGCATCGAGTGGCGTTTTCGGGTGGAATCCGTGCAGCAGAAAGAACGGGGAATATCCGGTGACGCTGTGCACAGAGGTGTTGTAGGCCATGCAGTACGCCTTGATGTCAGCGTCCCAGTTCGCTCCTTGAGGGTCAACGTATTTGGCGACCATGTCCTTGAGTGTTCTCATAAAACGCTCTACCATACCATCACTCTCAGGGTGATAGGGCGTTGTACGCGTTTTCTGGATGCCCAGTCGCTTGCACATGCACTGGAACAATGCAGACTCAAATTGGCCTCCTTGGTCCGAGTGAATCCTGTCTGGCACCCCCATGTCGTAAACCCAATCCAACAGCACCGTGGTTACGGTTTCGGCATCCTGCCGTCTGACTGGGTACACTCGGACGTATTTAGAAAAATAGTCCATGATGACTACTGCATATCGGTTGCCATTCTCCGACACAGGCATCTCAGTGATGTCAATCGCAATTCTGCGGAATGGTTGACTCGTGACCTCCGTCACCAGAGGAGCCCGTTTCTTCGGTGCAGGGCGATGGCGCCGTTGGCAAAGGTCACACGTGCTGCAGTACCGACGGATGTCCGCGAACATGCCGGGCCAGAGGAAGCGCTGTCGCACTCTTTCCGTTGTTCGACTCCGTCCCAAGTGTGCGGACGTCGGATGGTCATGGGCGAGCGTCATGATCCTTGATCGCATCGAATCGGGGACCAGGGCCCGGAAGCCCCACTTCGTCCTCATGCCGAGAACGCCCTCCCGCACTTCGAGCTGCGTCCAGCTCCCACGCAGTAGCTCCCACTCGGCGAGAGGGTGATCGGGCGGTGGTTCCCGACTGCCCAGACAGGCGTTCCGCATGACGCTGAGGACCTCGTCCTCTTGTTGCGCCGTCTGCAACTCCGATTGTCCTGGTGCTTCAGTGATTAGGCGTCCCGCCTGGTCACCCTTCGCCCTAGGTGGCGCAGTAGGCAGTGCGCAGACTTGGTCAAGTTCTGCTGCGCCTCGAGTCTTCCCCACACATTCCTCCTCTCCACCAGAAGCAGGTTCTTGGTCTCTTGTAGCTGCGGTATGCACGGGTGCTTGACCGGCTTCGGCGGGATAAGACTTGCTGCGCTTGCCCGTCCAGATATTGCCGTTGACTGGTCGCTGCCGGGACATCGCATCGGCATTGCCGTGATCACGGCCCGGCCGGACAACCACCCGGAACTGGTAAGAGCTCAGCTCGATGGCCCACCGGCCACGTCTTCCCGTCCCGTCACGTTCCACATTGATGGACTCCGGTACACCCGTGAGTGGTTTGTGATCGGTCACGACTTCGAATTCTGCTCCAACTGTGTACTGGTTGAATCGCCGGATGGCGTGAACGATGGCCCAGAGTTCTTTATCATATGTTGGCCATCTGCGC